TCATCTTTGCCACGTTTGCAGCACTGTCTGTGACAAAACTGAGCATGTGAGAGTTGAATTTTTGTTCACAGTTTATTACAGCTTTCACTGCCACTTCTTTAAATATTCTGCTGTGTGGGCATTTCCCGATATATCTATTGTTTCTGAAAGATATGCAACCCTATCTTCTGTTGTCACACAGGCACATATTACTGGATCATTGTGTACATTGCTCCACCCATCGAAGCTTAAACTGGCAAATTTCCCTGCAGTATTTTTTTGCACACTGTTCAAGTTCCTTCTCATACACTGTATCTAGCAACTTTCCACCAATGTCTACCAGGTGGAGTGTAGTCTGGTTGTAAGGACTCAACCATGTCAATGAAGCGTTTATTGCTAACAATGCAAAAAGGAGAATTTGTGGCATAAATGAATGAGCAATATTTTCATCTATGGTGTCTTATTGGTATTTGCTTGTCCTTACTACAAACCCATCCATAGCAGTGGTTTTACTGGATGACTGAAATCTTTTGCTTGCTACTGATACTTTGTTGTCTGAAATACATTTAGTTGCAGCACGGCTGCTAAAAGTGCCAACGGATGACTCTAAAGTTGTTGCAGATAGCCAGTCAAAGTCTCTTATGCTTAAATGGGATCCTGAAACTAAAATCAGTTTTGAATAGTCATTCTTCTCAGTTCTTCTCATGCTATTATTCAGTTCATACTTCCCATTTTTTTCAGCAAGAATGCAGCTCTGATTCCAAATTACCAAAAAAGCTAAGACTGACTGCACTTAGATTACACTTAATTTTGGAGTAAGCCCCATTGAACTCACTGGCACTTCTGTTTTTTGAGAAAACAAGTATAGGATGGGGTTCCCTGGGGAAAGCTGAGTTATGCTGAAGTAAAATAGGGTATAGATTTATGGCATCACCATTATGATCTGAGGCCATGACGTTCCAAAATAAGGGGTATGTATTTTGTAATATAAAATAAGAAAATGACACCCAGTGGCAACTGGCAACTCTAGATTTCTCTTACTGCAGCTTTCTGTACCGTAAACTTGGGTGATAGATTCCAAACCTAGTTAACTAATTAAACAAGCCATAAGGATTAGCTAAGCTAAACTTTTTTTTCTAGCAACATCCACCATAGTAAACAGCTTGGGAATTTACTTGTTAAATCACACTTATACTAAAAGGCATAGACTAAGTCTTGAAGAATGATGCATTGCAAAGTGAATTATTTAATTTACTAACCAGTTGATCCACATTGTTTTTGAGACATATCCACATCATTTTCTCCCAATAAGCAGTTTTCATTATGATGTTTCATTCTTGCAACTAGGCCCTGAATCTCCTTCTTGCACTGCTTCTTTCACTTGACACCTTTTCCTTTTTTACCCAGGGAAGGAATTGCTTCAAAATATTTCCAGATAGGGTCTCTCTCTTACGCCCAGAAACCATGACAGGTTTTCTGTGACAAAAGTATGGGGGAATATAGGAAGCTGTACTACTGAATAATGTAGTGGACTTTTCTTTCCAGTCCACTCCACTGGTCCTTTCTACTCTGCCTTCGTCCTGTCCTATATTGTCTCTCTGTCTTTAAGACAGTGTCTTAATTAACACCTCTGCCTTGCTTGGCCCAGTTCCACCAGTGCATCAGCACAGAACAATAATACTATCCAGCCTGCGATTTTGCACATGTAACTTTAGTGTGCTGAGAAACAGAAACTCAAAGTCCAGAACTTCCAAGAAGCAAGAGCTGGTAGTTAGGCTGGACAGACAGACTGGAGCCATTTTCATAAGATGAAAAACTGAAATGAATGCCCATGTTTGATTGCTACGTAACTCAATGCGTGTGTGTGAGAGACAGCCATTAATTCATTTTTATGAGACTGTAAGTGTAGGTTTAGCATGTTTGTGATGACATTGAATTGTAAGTTATTTTTTAAACGAGAGAGAAATTTAGTATTTTATTGATGATTAAAAAAACCTGATTTAAATAAAAAAAATCCAATTTTTTTATTTAAAAAAATCATTGAATTTTATCCACCCTGCTTCTTTGCAACAAGGGAGCACTGTTGGCTCTTATTCAGCTTACTGTCCACTACAGGTACTTTTCTGTAGAGGTATTGCTTAGCCAGTTGGTCCCAAGCTTGTAGCAGTGCATGGGTCTTCCATCCTAAGTGCAGGACTTTGCACTTGTCTTTATTTAACCTCATAACATTTCTTTGGGTCCAAACCTCCAATTTGTTGAGGTCTCTCTGAATCCTAGCCCTACCCTCTGGTGTATCTACTACTCTCCCCAGCTTGGTGTCATCTGCAAACTTGCTGAGGGTGCACTCTATGCCATCTTCCATGTCACTGATGAAGATACTGAACAAAGCTGGCCCCGGGACTGACCCCTGGGGCACTCCACGTGATACTGGTTGCCAACTAGACATTGAACCATTGACTACTACCCTTTGCACCCAACGACCCAGTCAGGTTTCTATCCACCTTACAGTCCATTCATCCAACCTGCACTTCCTCAGCTTCCTTGCAAGAATGTTGTGGGAGACTCTATTAAAAGCCTTACTAAAGTTAAGCTACATCAAATACACTGCTCTCCCCGCATCCACAAAGCCAGTTATTAAGGCTGTGTGAAGCTTTGGTAGTTGGTTCAATTCAGAGGAGATTCAGCCCAATTCAGCAACTGAATCTCTGAATTTGAATCAAATCGGGAGACTGATTAAAAGGTCTGAATCAAATTGGAAGACTCTGAATCAATTTGGAAAAGATTCGGCGCCACTTCGAAGATTTCCAGCTGGTAAGTCTGTTGTGATGGGTGGAGGGAAGGGGCATGGGGGAGGGAGGGATTGGGGCTGGGACAAGTCGCCCAGATGGGGCGGGGTTGCGTGGGACTTGGGGAGGGGGGTGGGGGGCATGGGGGGCATGTACAGCAACGCTG